TAATTAATTTTTCCTTGTTTTAGATCCAAGGGGTTTGGATATGTATTCACCAGGGAATTGGTGAAGGTCTCTCAAGGCTTCCCAGGAAAGGGAATTAGCTTGAGATGGTGGCAGCGAACCAAAGCTAAGCTGGTAGTTAAGCTTAAAAGTCTTCATGCAGGCCCCCACATTTTGTACCCTAAAGTTCAAAGTGGGGATACAGCCTTAACAGTCCTATTCTTCTCATTACCAATCTTCCTATACCACGGTCCCCTATGCCAGGGCTCTGTGCAATCCCATCCTTCCTTCCCCTCCCCGCTCGTGGGCTCCAGCCTGAGCCTGGACATCTACACTGCAATTTTATAGCCCTGTGAGTCTAACACAGGCCTGCTACGGGTGTTTGACTGCAGTGTACCCTGAGGCAAAAAATTGCCCCTTTCTCAGAGGCGAGACAAGGCCTGGCAGTATCAGTACTCTTGTTTTGAGAGTGAGCACGGCACTCAGTTCACTTTCTTGGGCTGTGGGGCACTTATGCAGCTGGCTGTTACTTGCTGCTGTGCAATAGTTAAGGCTGCATCAGTGTGTTAAGTTTTATAGAATCATGTTTGTTTGCATTTTGCTTGAATGTAAAGATGAACTTTGAGCTGAAACTTGCACAGGAACATTCCTTTCTGCCTCTCCTTCAGTGATCTCAACAGGAGTTCATTTTTAATGTTTGGCCCCTTAATGGAGAGCAAACTTCTTTTCTTTTCTGGGTGTGCGTGGTGGTCTAACTGAACTTGAAATTGAAAATTTCCATGCATTTTATTCTTAGTCCATAATGTAGTCTAGAACCAGTGTTAATTTTATAGTGTAGCAGAGGAGGATGACTTTTTTAGTTTTGTCTCTTGTTGGTTAACAGTCACTGCCTACCCTCCGCAACAATATTATTACATATTTGAGAGCTAGAGCCTAACAGGAAAACTAAGGTATTAAATCTGTAGTGCTGATAGGTTTACTTCATGCTGTTATATTTAGTTATGTTAGAGGGTTGAGAAACTAATTCTCTTTAATTTATACAATACATTTCTAGACAGAAGTGGATGAGTTAAGAGTGAAATGACAGTCATAACTAAGAACATCACTGTGCTTGTTGGTTTGCAGCTTAACTAGAGATAGTTGAAAAATGGTATTTCTGTCCTGCAGGAAATTCAGAGACTTTGAAATTCCCAAAGTGGGACAAAAAGTTAATCTCTGATTTTGTTTTTGTTTTTTTGTTTTTCAACAAATGGAATATTCTGAAAAATTTAATTTTAACCTTTATTTTGACAAGATCAAAACATTCTTATATAATATATACATATTTCAATAATTTCCCATTACGAATTTTGAAATCCTATGTTCCTGCAGAATGTTTTGATTCTGTTTGGAAATGGCATTTTCCAACTGAAAACTGCTGTCACAACTTTTTTCAGCCAGCTCTAATTGTAACACTATGAATGCATGTGTTTTTGCTGTATATTTACAGGTTATCCCAAGTTTTTCGAACACTTGAGCGGTCTCGGCACTGTTGACAAAGCTAAGATGGCTGTAAACTCAGTAAGTAGTTAAATATTCAATTTTATTTTCTGTGGGTAGCAGCCTACTGAGTAATGAATTAATAATCAGGTTCATTAAAAGTGGACATAGGTATACATGGCTTTATTTTTTTAAAAAAGTTTCTTGACTTTAGTTTCCTAATCTATAAAATGGGGAAAATACCTGCCTGCATCACAGGGTATTGTGGGGATGAATGAACTACTGCTTCAAGTCTCTGATATCAGTGATAGATGTAGTTTATGAATCTAGCACTCTGCCATTCTCGGAGGGTACTATGAGAATACAAACCTACCTATCATACAATTACAATAGAACTTTGTTAATTTACATTAATCATTGGGTGATTATTGTCCTATGGCTAGAAGGAGAAAAAATACACAACATAAAGTATTCTGCATGACAAGATATACCTTGCTGATTATAATGAGTAGTTTTCATTATAATTCAGAATGTAATGGTATTTGTTCTATAGTGTATTTGGTAAAAGTAATGAAGTCTTAGCAGAGTGCTGTAGTGAGATCTGATAATTAGCACTGAAGCGATGCTGTCAACTGGAAAATCAAATTTATCACTGAAAAATTTGCACCTAACATAGTAACTACCCCTTAAATTTTTACAGCTGAAATATGTTATCAGAAAAAAATACGCAATTTTTCCAGTTTTGTTTTTTATTTTCACTGTTAGTTTCTCTTTTATTGGAAAAAAAATGTGCAGAAGAGACTCTTAAGGAAGCAAAAACATTTCTCTTTATAAAGAAATTTGAAATCTAAATTTAAAACATATTTAGAGGGTGATGTGATCTATTGGAAACTAGTTGTATTTTCTTTTTAAATTAATCCCTCAGTTGAATGTCTCTAAGCCTCTCACTCCACTTCTCAGGAGACTTTGTATATCTATTTTGTGTGTGTGTGTGAGTGTAATGAATTTATGAATGAGTGCAATGAGAATTAGTGGGCTTTTACTGTATTTACACGTGACACTTAATGTTTTTTTAGAAATGATTATATTGTTCTAACTTTGCAATATGAATGTTTTTTCCCCCCTTCACCTCAATTTTGCTATTTAGGAGCTACCACCATACTATGAAAATCATGGTTATCAGCCAGAAAACGTCTATATTTCCAGACAGCCTGAGGATGCTAATGTGTATCCACAGTACCCTCCTCCATATTATCCTCCGTCAGTGCCACATTATGTCCCAAGAGTTCCTGTTCATCAGTCAGCTCCCCCAGTAGTACAGCCAAAGCCTCCATCAGCGAAAATGTGCACACCAGGTAAGATTTGTCTGGTTTTCTTTTTATGTAGATTGATTGCAATCTGGCATGTGTTTAACAGATGAAACTTGTTTCCTTTCAAGCTCTTATGTTGAGGGACTATCCCAGGAGTACCTCTTTGTCCCTGAGAGTGCTAGGTAACCAAACAAGTCAATTACACTATTATACTTTTTTGTAAAAGGTGTGAGGAGTTGAGTGGTTCTTTGAAGTGATGATGAGATGGGGAGACTCTGTAACATCTGAATTGCAGATTCACACCTGCTTAGTATAATAGATGGACAGTTTTCAATCAAGGCAGAGGTTCCCAAAGTGGGCGATCCCGCCCCCTGGGGGGCGCTAGAATGATCAAGGTGGGGAATAGAACCCTGAGATCTTTAGGGAAGCTTTCTAATAAAAATAAC